AGTTGATCTGTATAGCTTGTTGTTTGTAAATGGTTCATCCTCGTTGTGCATGTTCTTCAGGAATTCGGGTTGCATGGGTGTATCACAGGGCTTGGCTTCACTCATGTTGCATTTCCCTATCAGTTCCAAGATTTTCTCTTCTTGAGAGAGTCGGAAACCCTTTTGAGTTTGTATGATGTGAACCCCTAAGTATTTAGGGGTATTTGTTTATTTTCCCTAGTGTTTTTAGTGAGAAATGTTTATTCAATTCCTTGGCAAAAGTGTCACACTTATGTTTCTGTTTGCCTATGTATAGTATGTCATCCACGTAAACGAAGACATACGCTATAGAGTCTTTCTCTCTCCTTGTGAAAAAACAAATATCAGCTGATGTGGCTGTGAAACCCATTGTTCTAAGAATTTCGGCCAAACATTCATACCACCTCTCCCCTGATTGTTTTAGTCCGTATAGGCTTTTGTTTAAAAGCCATGTGTTACCTTCCTTTGACTGTATGCCTGGAGGAGCCTTAACATAGATCTTTTTGTCTAGTTTGGCATGTAGATATGCGGTCTGTACGTCAAACTGGTACACTTCTAGTCCTAAAATGGAGGCTACCACTAATGCACTTTTTACACTTTCTGCTCTGACGGTGGGGGAGTATGTGTCAGTATAATCTTCTGGATATTTTTGTGCAAACCCCTGTGCTACTAATCTTGCCTTATATAGTGTTTTATTGTCATCCAGAGTTTTGATCTTATATAGTCCACTTAGTTCCAATTGGGGTTTTGCCATCTGGAACTTCGGATGGTGTGTATACATCTAGTTCTTTGAGGCTATTCATTTCTTTCTCCATAGCTTGTTCCCACTTTGTTCTCTCCCCTTGGGGCAATTTTACTACTTCATCATATGAGTTTGGAGTTGGACTGTCTGCGTGTATGGACATGACGAAGTCATTGAATTTGTTGGGCCTTTTATTTCTATTTATTCTGATTGGTCTATCTGGTGGTGTGGTTGATTTGTGTAAGTATCTTGCTTCCTTTTCAGTGAATGTATCTAGTTTTAGTGTTGGCTGATTCTCCTTCCACTCACTAATCCTGACCTCTTGATGCCTGGGTTTAATTATCTGGTGTTCCCTATTCCCTTTGCTGTCTGAGCTCTGTTGGTTATGTGTTGGATTGGGGGTGTGAAATACTTCATTTAAATGTATTCTCGACCAGTTAGCGTGTTCGTGGAAATCAGCTGATCTGGATATTATGAATCTGTTCTGACTATCGATGAATCTGTACCCTTTGGTCCCTGGTTCGTACCCCATAAACCTAAGCCTTCTAGATACTTTTTCCTCCTTTTTTCTCAGTTGTTTGGGTATGTGAACGTCGGCTGTGACCCCAAATATGTGTAGGTGGGCTATATTGGGTTTCTTTCTATACATTAGTTGGTAAGGAGTTGAGTTTATTACGCTAGACCATAATCTGTTGAGTGTATAATTGGAATATAGAAGGGCCTCTGACCAGAAGGATTGTCCTAGTCTCGCATCTTCCAAGATGCACCTCATCATTGTCTGTAGTGTGCCGTTTTTTCGTTCTACTCCTCCGTTCTGAAAAGCGGAGAATGGTGAGAATGTATAGTTTAGTATCCCATGTTCCTTTAGCCATTTGGAGAAGTCCTTTGATAGGAACTCCAAACCTCTGTCAGTCATTATTTGTTTTATTCTTGTGTTATGTTGGACCTCTACTCTTTTGTAAAATTCCCTGAATTTTTGATATACCTCATTCTTATGTTTGAGGGTATATACGAAGCCGTAGCAGCTGTAGTCATCTACGATAGTTAGAAAAAATCTCTTTTTGTATTTTATGGAAGGTTTTAGGGGTCCTACTAGGTCCATATGAATTAATTGAAAAATAGAGTCAGTTGTGTGCACTGACTTTTTTGGTCTCGGTTTTGTTTACAGTTTGGAGCATTTGCAAATTGAGCACTCAAGATAGTTTTCACAATTCTTTACTTTTAAACTGTCAGTATATTTTGTCAACTTTTGTACAATGGGAAAACTAATGTGACCCAGCTTTCTATGTAGGAGGTGTGCACAGTTGTCATGTAGGAGTCTGCCTAATGAGGGTTTGCTGTCATTGATTAGTTCGCGGTTATGTTTGCTACCCTCTGTCCCTTGGTGGCTGTCTCCTTCTACATCATCATTGTCCTCTCTATCATTTTCAGGAGATGTCTGTCCCTGTTCTGCTTGTGAGTTAGTGTTTATGCTTAAATGGCTAACGCTGCCTGTTTTAAAGTATGGTAGGCCATCGCTAATCATAACCTCTCCTATGCTCTTTCCATTCCTGGTCATGTGTGTCTGTCCTGCCTTGAACTTAATTTCAATGTCTGTGTCCTGACTTAGCGGTATGGCGGTCAGTATGTTATATGGGATCTCTGGTATGAATAGGACCCCCTCTATTTCTCCAATCTCTGGTAGAGTTATGTTTCCTTTCCCTGCCACCTTGACTTTAGTTTGGTTAGCTACTTTGATCATGAAATTTTCTTCAGTGAATGAGGATAGTAAATTGGCGTTGTATGTGGTGTAGTTGGTTGTGCCTGAGTCGATTAGCCAAATATTTTCCTTTTTGATTTGTTTACTTGTGTATCCCTGCCCTGCAAGTCCATAGAGTGAGCCTGAGTGACTCTCTCTGGAATTATCCCTGTGATCCCTTCTGTTGTTGAGGTTGGGAGAGTCTCTGCGCCTGAATCCGCGTTCTGGTGAATGTCTGTGTCTGTATCCTGGCTTGTCTCTGCACTGGCTGTGTTCCCTACCTCGGGTATTCCTGGGAAAATCCCTCTTGTAGTGAGTCCTGGAGCCACATAGGTAACATTCAGGTGTGTTGCTACTCCTGTCTGTGGAACCTAATTTCCTGTCTGTTCTGTGGTCCCTGCGGGATATAGAGCGATCCTTTCTTAAGTTGTCTTCAGCAATTAGTCTGTTGGTGAGATTTTCAATGGATAAGTGTTCCATGCTGAGGCTGTCTAATTGTGATATGAAATTGTCCCAGCTTTGGTCCAAAGAGTTGATAATTATACTTTTCATGCTTTCCTCAGTTATGATTTCCCCCCTTTGTAGTAATTCGGCCCTAGTGGCATTGAGCATTAGTAAATGCTCACTTATAGATATCCCTGTTTTGAGTCTGGCTGAATGGAATTCCCTGGAAATTTTAGTGGTGGTTGCCCTACTTTTGCTGTAGAATAGGCTAAATAATTTTTGTATCAATTCTGGTACAGTCAGGTGGTGACTAATGCTGGGGTATATACAAGGTGATATGCTGGCTATCAATAAATAAAAAATCTCGAAAAACCAAGGTTTTTCTGGTGGGTCAGTAATTAGAAATAATATGTTCTCCTTTAAGAAAATGACCTGGTTCCATTCTAATAGGTTTGTCCCATCTAATTTTAGTTTTGGAAAGTCTATAGGTAGAGTCCCAGTGTTGTGTGAAAGATTACTTACAGGCAGGTGCTGTCCATGGTTTAGTATGTGAGGGAACTCACAATATGGCATTGGTATGCTGGCTGGTAGTCTGTACTGACTTGCTTCTATGTTTCTCTCTTCTTTCTTAGGTGGTCGATTCTGTGCATGCCCAAAATTCATTTGTGCTCTGCAGTCGTCGGGGAAGAAGCTTGCCGCCGGAGCTCCCAGGTGGAGGCCCCACTCGTCTGGGTAGAGTCTCGGCTCCGGCTTGGGATTCCTTTGAAGATCGGGAAAGGCTTGGATCGTCGCTTGAGCCGCCTGGATGTCCCTCTGGATCCTCGCTTGATTCAGAAAGTCCGCGGCTGCAGGATGGAGATCTGGGAGGCCTGGTTTCGCATCCGGTCTGTCTGACAGTCCCCCTAACTGGGGCCAGGTCGAAGATATTGCTCGTCGTGAGCTCCAGTTGGCGCGTCGGTGTCTGCTGGATCGGTGAGTATTCTGTTTGTTTTCTGGGATTCAATGCGGGTGCCGTTTGTAGTGCGGGATGGGCCCAGGGGTGTGGCGGTGGGATCGAGGCCTTCGCAGTGATGTTCGTGTCCCTTGGGTATGCTCCGTTTGTGTTTCTATGTGAGGTGTTTGTTGCCCAGGACATCTCCAGGGTGTCCGGGTGTAGATTATGTATTTTTAGTTTTGGGCCGAAGGCTGCAGTTAAAGTCTGTATGGTCCTATCGATGTCTTGCTCGTTGGGTGGCTCTTTGGGGGTGTCATCGTGTTCTCCCCCATAGTAGTCGTTGTTGTTTGTTGTGTTTGCTCGCGGGTAGGCCTCTTTTCCCACCCTTGTATTTAAAATTTGGGTCCCCGTCAGTGATTGGTCGGCCATCTTTAGTGAGGTCACTGTCCAAGATGGCCACCGTGAAAAAGACGCAAAAAATGTTTCGACCTCCTCGGTGGGGATGAGGCAAGTAGACGGTTTTCTTACTGGGTCGACGTTCGTTTGGTCTAGTTCTGTTTCGTTTTTTCTGGTCGCTGCTCCACAGTCTTTGATCAGGTCTTGGAGTTTCGCAATGAGGTCTTGGTCGACCGGGGTAGTTTCTATCATTTTCAGCAGGTTTCTCCTGAGGTCATCTTCCTTACTCGAAGTGACTTCTGCATAGGTTTCTTCTTCGTTCCTTTTCATCTGGATTTTGGTTGGGGTGCTTGGTTCGGGATCATGCTCGCCTTTTGTCGGAGTTCTCTTCAGGATGCTGCTCGCGGGCGATAATTGGGCTGTCATCTTCTTCGCGAAGGCCCAGGTGATTGTTCTTCCCTTGATTTCTTGTGGCTTGATATTTTCAGACATACCTGGGAGTATTTGGGCTAATAACCATCCTCTGCTACCATTCTGTTAATGTACAAGGATCTAGCCCAATAAATATTCAGAGACAATGAAGAAGAACAGTCCAGTGCCTCGTGTATGCCCCTTATATGACATGGAGGCATGGTCAAAGGTAAGAGGGAGTGGTAATGGAAATAAGAAAGTGGGTGTTAACCTTGACAATATAGAACAAGGGTGTTATGGATATATTAGGCATTTATATGTGACAATGTTGCCCTGAGGAGTGAGTATGGATAGTAGTGATCAATCTTATTCACCTGCTTCCTTTTGCTCTTAGTATTAGTATCTTAGTATCTTTGGACCTGTTGAAGGATATCCCTGATGTAAATTTTGAATGGCCTCTGAAAATACATACTGTTTTTTAGAGGTGGATGGTGTTTCGATTGTTAATATGTCACAAGCAGATTCTTTTGTCTCTTTATCTTCTTCATTTTCCTGTTTTTCAACTGGTTCAGTCTTTAATATCTCAAATTCTGCGTTCAATAGGTCCAACCCTTGCCTTTCTCTCCTATTCTTATGTCTTTCTATATTTTCATACTGGGTATCTTTGGACCTGTTGAAGGATATCCCTGATGTAAATTTTGAATGGCCTCTGAAAATACATACTGTTTTTTAGAGGTAGATGGTGTTTCTATTGTTAATATGTCACAAACAGTTTCTTTGTCCCTCTTTATCTTCCTCGTTTTCCTGTTTTTCAACTGGTTCGGTCTTTAATATCTCAAATTCTGCGTTCAATAGTTCCAACCTTTGCTTTTCTCTCCTGTTCTTGTGTCTTTCTATATTTTCATACTGGGTATTTTTTTCTACTCTTGGGCAGATCTCTTCACTTTGGAATCCTGCAAAAAATGTTATTTCAACAGTAACTATTTAGAAACATCCATTATTTGTTAGAGAAAACAACAGTGACAAAAGTACGTTACAAGTAGTCCTTGACCTATGACCATGTTAAGTGAATAATAACACAGTTGTTAAGTGAATCTGGCTTCCACATTGACTTTGGTTGTTGGCAGGTCGCATAAAAGGATCACATGACCCAGGTCATAAATATGAACCAGGTGACAAGCATCTGAATTTTGATGATGCCACCATGGGGTTGCTGCACTGGTCATAAGTATAAAAAATAGTCATAAGTTACTTTTTACAGTACCCTTGTTATTTTGAATGGTCACTAAATGAACTGTTGTAAGTCAAAGACTACCTGTATTCTATCTAGTGTTACAAATTATTTAAACTAGCACCTTCAGTTAAAATAAACTGTCCAAGAAATTTATGCCACATTCTGTATTTCTTCTGACGAGCAGACATTGTTCACAATAACATAGAGCAGTTATAAAATAAAGCATTATAGCACAATGTTTGACTCCTTAAGCAAAAGGTATGTCTTGCGATTTTTACAGTTCAATATTTATAGTCATTTATGGTTTTTACCCAAGAATGTCCTGTTTGAAATGTTGTGCACTGATAATATTCCAGGGAGATGAACTCCTGTTTCAGGGACATGTTTTTTAGCTATGTTAACTACTTCTTTCACCTCTCTGTTGGTTTTCAATTCCTAAAAGGTCACAGAAAAAAAGCAGATATCTGTAAGTGAATGTTTTACATGTTTTACATGTTTTACATGTATAAGTGATAAAGTGTTGTTAAATCTCCATTAATATGCTCCCTTCCATTTCGTTTTTCTCTGTCTAATAAAGTGTCTCTCTAAAGTCTCCCAATATTGAATTAACATAGTTTTAAATTATAATCCAAAATAGGAAAACATAAATAAATAAGAGCTTTGTTTTATTTATTTCTTAGATTTATATCTCCTTCAAGTCTTTCATATTTCTTCCAAAATTTCTTTACAATAGAAACTCCATATTTTTTGATTGATAGTCACTAAAGCAAAGTTGCCTATGGGATTGCGAGTCAAGGTGGACTTGAACCTAGAATTCCCTTGAGGTATTCAGCATTTTAATTAATACCAGAGAACCCACGACTCCTTTGGTCATTGTTTCAGAGATACCACCTTACCACATTCCTCAATGCCTTCAACAATAACAGAGCTTCTAATGTACTGTCTTCACTAGAAAAGTTCTTAACAATTCAGGAAGATATTCAGACATGTATCTGCCTTGAAAATAGCCAGGTTGAATTGTATAAAATGGTCAAAAATCGACAGCTGACCCCAGGAAATATTTTCTGACTTTTTTTCTTATTATAATTTTATGTCATGTAATTTGTCCAATTTCAATTCCACAAAAGCCATGGGTTCCGGATTTTGGACTAAGTAAACCCATTTCAGCTACCTTGGTTGAAAAATGATTGCCCTATGATGCACACTTCTGCCCAGTTAAAATTTACAGAGAGACAAACAGCGGAACTTTAATAGGATATACATATCGCTCTGACTACCTTCATGAACAGAGTCCCCAAGACCTAGTTCAAAAGAAGCGCAAAGTTATAAAGAAAGGAAAAATGCAACCATTTCTAGCACAATAAGCCCTATTGGGATCTCAGACAAACCAGGAAAGAGAGAGAAGAAATACTTGCAGGGTTGTTTAATTTATTTATTTAACATATTTATTAAGCTGCATGCATGTGACTGGGCAACACACAAAATTCAGTCCAAGCCATTATAAGACATTTAAAAAACTAAACAGCTATAAATATTTTTGAAGTCTTTGGGGAGGTCATTTAAACATCCTACATGAAATATAGCCATTTCCCGTTCCCTATTTCTGTAGGATCACCAAGCCCACTGACAAAACCATATTTTAGGGATCATAACTTACAATGGAAATTCTGAGCTCTATTACAGTCATAATTTGAGGACTGTCTATGTTGGATAGCAGCAGCATGATGAGAAGATGTTAGGTAATCCCTTCAGTGGCAATGACAAGGGGGTTATTTCATACTGTATAGGACCAGGCAATGGTAAACCACTCCTGTATTTCCTTCAAAAATACAGAGGTACACCAAGGGGTGAGACATACACTCTCCTTATTAATTCAGCCTATATGATGTATGTATATGAGGGAGGCAGGATTGGGGGGAAATGACTGTGGCATTAAATTTGGAAGAAGAAACAATAATAATAGATCTTGAGCATGTAGCTCTAAAGAAATGGGCAACTACGTTATATAAATTTGACAAAAATAAAAATAAATTTGCCACTTATTAATACTTTTTGCTTCAAAATACATGATTTAACTCATTTTTATAATGGCAGTATGGCATGAGAGAATAAAGCAATTTCAATTCCAAAGCCAGGCTTATATCCCAAATCAAAAGGCTCCAGAAGTCATCAAAATAGAAGTGAGATTATACCTAGGTATCATTTAGCTATGATCTATATAACAGACATATACACTAAAATCCTGTAACAAAGGACTTTTGAATTTAGTGGGCTTTCTTAGTAAATACCCATAAAACTCTTCTCCCATCTAGAGAGAATGATGAGAATGATCCTGTTTAATCAAGACTCATGACTCCTACATAAAGAGTTCACAAAATGCAGTATTGCCATTTTAAAAAAGAAAATAGAGCAAGGATTTGAAATATTTTTGACAAGTCAAAGAATTATCATATTTTTATTTCACAGTAAAGTATGAGATAAACTCTGTTCTACCTTTTGGAGAAGAACGTGAATCGGCTTTCTCTGGCTGACCTTTGCGCATCCGGTGTGCATAAATATTTGTAATGTTTAGTTCTCGTTCTCTTTCCTAAAGAAATACATTATTACATTGATGTTGATAATATAGTGTATTGGATTAATGTTGGTTCTTCAGAGATCATACATTTCACCGTGTAATTCCCTCAGTATCTCATTTTATTTATCTGTATTTTAAACATTTGCTTAGGCATCTTTTGGCCAAATACTTCATTTTCTAAAGATTCTGAAATATAAATATCCTTTTTTTCTGGAACTGTGAAGTTTGATCAAGTTTTTTTATTTTTACAATTCATAAACAATTAATTAAATTTGACCTTAAAAGTCCTTCCAAAATGTTTTGATACAAAATAGTTATGACATTAACAAAGTATGCAGTATTAAATATGTACTATAATTACAATGTAAATATTAACTGCTTCTCAATTTTCTATCAATACAGGCCTTGATTAATATGTTTTCATGTTGGGACACACTTTTCAAGTACTGTCTGTTCCTAGAAATGGTAACGTGCAAATGGACTAACATAAATTAATACATTGCTGCAATCTAGAGTTTAGATGGTTCCAGGCTGAAAGAAAGCCCCACAAAGCAAGATAGGCTCACCTCAAATGAGCCTTTAGTGAATAGCATCTTGGATGCCTTCTGCGGTAAGAGAAATGTAATTTAAGCTTCTAAATACCTTAAGTTTTAGCTTCAGCGACTCGATTTCTACTTCTAAATTTGCTCTGCTTGACTGAGCTTCAATGATCTTTTTTTCCTCAACTGCTAATTTATGTCGAAAAAAGGCAGTGTTCGATGCGAGCTGCTTTTCCAAATCCTAAATGCATTAGAAATAAACCATCAATAAGTTTATTAAATTTTTACAAACATACAATATTGAATTAGAAATTAGAGGAAGGCAACTGAAATTTTAGCAAATGTTTCCAAAAAGATGAGAATCTTCAATCTCAGTTATAATACTCACAATTTTTCACAGTCACACAGAGCCCTGCTATGTAGTTCTAAGCAATGTATGTTGCATGTTACCTGAGTTTTCTTATCCCTTTCTTCCAATTTTTGGGTAAGTGATCTTAATTGATGGTGAAGTTCTTCTCTCTCTTCAAGCTTTTTGTCTTCACAAAGATTTTGCAATGACCGCAAGGCATCCGTTGTATTCAAGTGTTCTGCCTGAACGTCTCTCAGCTTCTTGGAAGCCTTGTACTCTTTTTCCTGAGATTTCCTGAGATCTGCTCTCAGAGTCTGCCCTTCATTAGCGTGCGTGGCCAAAAGATCAGGCAGGTTAATCTCTGCATTTTTGTATTTACTGATTGCTTTTAAATGTCGGGACTGGAGACACTTCAAGATTTTATTTTCCGTAGTAAAAGTCTCCACTTTATTCCGCAGGACAGCCACTTCGTTTTTCAGTTCTTTAATTGTATGGTCTGTTGCTGACAATAGATGACAAGCTATCTTATTTTTCTTCTCCTGAGCATTGATGATATGGTCAGTAATAATTGTCTTCTTCTGCGGAGGTTTCTTTTTAGGCAACGTTTTGCCTCCTACATTAAAAGAAAAGAAAAAAATCAAGATGGCATGTAAGATTGAGCAAAGTAAGAATCACATCATTTTACATAAGCCTCAGAGCCAAATGCTCAAATATGTATTCACGACATAGATTCGCTTCCTTTTATATAACTTTTTGAGTCAATCTCTGATGCAACTATTTGTTGATTGACCTATTGTGAAAAATCATACCGGAACTCTCATAATATTAGCTTCCATAAAACAGAAATGCTCTACTCACATAATATGCTAAGACAGTATTTAGAAAGCTTTAAGATGCATTGACTTCAACTCCTAGACTTCTTCAGCCAGACAGGCCTAAAGCAGGATTGGTAGCCCAGCACCCTAACCACTACACAAAACTGTCTAGACAGACAGGTGGATAGATATACATATACATACATACATACCATATCCAAATAATGATAAAACAATGAATGTAATAGACTGAAAAAAAGTGTGACCATTAAAATTTGCCAACACTTTTTTTTTAAAATAGTGGAACCTATTCCCTGGCCCTTGGCTTATTTATGGAAACCATGTGACAGTGACATCTGTATGACCATGATAACTGGTGAACTACATCCATCACTACAAGCTTCATTACCTCGATAGAGGAATTACTGACAGGGTGTGGAAAGCAGTCCATTAATGTATTAATCAACTGCATACAATTTAAACATTTTATCAACATTCAAATGGTGTCCAAAATTATAGTGTAGCCTCTAGAGTATAGAAGTGTCAGGGTAGCTAAGCAAAAGCAGTTATAGGACAACTGCTTGATTTTTAGGAAAGGCTTAGCTGCCATTAGTTCGGTTGAAATCTGCCAACCACAGCGAATGCAGTAGTGTTCAAAGTGAGCAATTGCCTTCTTACCTTTTGTATGGACATCATTTTTCTTTTTCTTTTCTGTAAATTCCGCTCTTTAGTTTTTGGTGTTTGGGGCAATGGGATGGTGTAGCTGCCACTCTCTTCACTTATGGAGGCTTTAGAGGAATCCGAGTGAAAATCTTTGTGATAGTAGTTCTGAGAAGTTCCACAGATGTTCTCTTCTGAACAAATGCTGTTCTTGCTGCCATTGACAGCTGTTCTTGAAGCATTATCATGAAAGTCATTAGAGTAGGTAAACTGAGCACTTCCAGACTTGCTGGAATGTTTGCTACAGCTACTGTCTTGACTGTTGGTGCTCTTACTAAGCCTACCTGGAGAATCGTTTGAGCTTCCTCTTTTTCTGCATTGTCCAGATGTTTTATCCTCTTGGACAGTATGATGAAGGGCTGGATGATCAGAAGCCATCATTCCACCAATGGCAGGGAAGTCTATCAAGTATATTTTAAATTTCCCAAAGGAAATGGCACTGTAGTCAGAAAAAGAAACAATGTATGATGTAAACATTTACTTAAGCCTTCATCCAATACATTTAAAAGTTGTTTGCGCTGATTCTCTACCAAAAAGATCACCACAATTTTGGCTCCTAGCATTATATTATTCTTATACTTCTTGAAGAACTGATGTGTTGATTAATTAATATGCTACTTTCTTGGCATTCTCATTCACAGAATGCAATGCCTCCAGAGTCCTGAGTCCTTTCAAGGAGCTAAAAAGAGTAAAGTAATAGTGTTACATTTCAAGGAATATCTGTACTGACATTCAAATAATAGAATAATGGAGCTGGAAGGGACCTTATAGGTCTAGTCCAATATCCTGCTCAAGCAAGCATACAACATTATTTCTTTCACCCAGCTACTTATGGGAAACATCATACTGAGAAAATATTTTCCTGATAAATCAAAGTCAAAATAGCAGCAGATTATTCCTTGCTAGTTCAGAAACCCTCCAACATTCAAGATTGGCCTTATTTCTATACAATTTAAAAACATGTACATTTTAAAATGTGTTAAGGAAACATTAAATTGGTGCAGAATGCCTTTTGGTTAGTCAAACCTAAGGTTTGTACAGATTTTGTGTGTGCTGCGTTCTTTGGGGTGCATAGGTGGGGCAGAACAGCAACACTGAATAAACAGACAAGCAAGAGAAGCCCTCCAGAAATGGGCAGGGTCTGTTTCTCTGAGGAATTTTACTTCGAAAGATAGTTCCTTAAACCCCAGAAGGCTTATAACACTCATTTTGTCCCTAGGCCCCAAAATGACTCCAAAAATCAAAAATTGAAACTCTGTTTTCCTTATTTCTTTCACCGGGGAGGAGATGAGAGGTAGCGGTGTAGATTCTGCCCCTTTTATATCTGCATCATTGCGTTGGAAACAGGCATATATTGTACATAAGAGGAGCAGTTTCCATTGTGATGTCACAATGTACGTTTCTAGATTTTGAAAAACTTCCAGATTCAGCGGGCAACTTTGTTAAACAGTCTTAACTGTCAGAATGTGAGAGGAGCACTTATGCTCTATTCATCTTTTCAAAAGAAGCCCTATGGAATTCTCAGAGATTAGTTCCCTTGTCTTGTTATCCACTTGCCTTGGAATAAGCCCATCAATTTTTAGAAGAATTTAAGGAGAGAAAAGCTGAATGATACATATGTACAGCTGGCTTAAGGAAAAGAGGCGGGCAGAAAAGAGGCCATTGAAAAATGAAACTGGATGATACAAGAAGGAACAAAAGAAGGGATAAATATAGCAGTTTTAAAAATAAAAAAATAGTCTGAGGTTTTAAGACTGGAGGGATAAAAAAGAAGAAAAGATTAGTTCCCATTGCTGAAATAAATTCACATGCAGATAAAAAAATTTGACCCAGGAAATTATGAGAAAGACAAAGGACAAAGCAATTGAAAGAAGATTCTGACCCCAACATATATTTAAATATATATTTAAATATATATTTAAAAGAGAATTAAAAAGGAAAGAAGGGAAAAAGACGTTCCACTTCTTTTAAAAAAATTAAAAAGGAATGAATAAACATATGAAAGGAGAAAAGGAAAAAAACTAATTGAGGCAGAGATTGTGCAGTTAGTGCTCAGTTATCACTGATGAGAAATGAACTATAAAAACAGTACATAACGGAAGTTGGCAACACAATTCAACTTGGAAGGGAAAAGTAGCTGCTTCATTTTCCAGGTCCCTTGGAAGAGCTCTTCCACCAGGCCTTTATCTTCCACCTGTTTTTTTGCTTCCCCTTAACTGTTGCTATCTTTGCTTACCCACAACTCGAACCAAGCACTCCTTGACTGCCCAGAGAACAGAAGTCGAAGCTCCCGCCAAGCACGCAGGGTTTAAACTTCCTCCCCACGATGCCCAGACAGAGGCTTCTATCCGAGGTCCGTTTATTCACGTTACCGGTTCTTGGGCTTCGTTGGCAAAGAAGTGGCTGTTTAGATCTTTGCTACTATGGCAACTAGAGAACTTCTCTGAGCATCATGGGACTTGGAGGGCAAAGTTGAATGGAAGGAAAAGGTAAAATGGCAGATGTTAGGGAGGTGTTTTCATTATTCCATCATCTCCAGTTTCCTTCACACTCCTCATTCCACTCGTTCCACTCGTTTTTCTACTGAGCAAAATATTCCTTAATCTGGGGCTATGAAAGAAGACGGGCTCCTTTCCCCTGATAAAAAAACAAACAGAAGTAAACTTACAAATTTTAGAGGATTTTAGAAATATTATATTTTGCACTGGGAAATATCTATCCTATCAGGCAAGCCAAAACAAAGCATGTAAAGATATGCATGCCTACGTTAGTGTAGGTTCCACCCAATACAATGAAATTTGTTCTGGGGTAAATTTATGAAAGGTATAAATTTATACAGGATAGAAAGAATAGTAAAATATATGTTAAGGGAACACCTTCAACTGGGCAATCTAACATAAAAAAATAGAGTTTTTCATGTTTTTCAGAACTGTTAATCTGGGAAGATGATAAATTAAAAGAAGAAAGGATTTTGATTGATTATGTTATGAATTTTTAACAACCACATAGATAGATTTTCCTCATGATTATCTGTTCGTAATCTGGTCCTCCTCTATGTGTCTCTTGTCTCCTTCCTTCCTTCCTTCCTTCCTTCCTTCCTTCCTTCCTTCCTTCCTTCCTTCCTTCCTTCCTTCCTTCCTTCCTCTCTGTCTCTGTCTCTGTCTCTGTCTCTGTCTCTGTCTCTGTCTCTGCTCTGTCTCTCTCTCTGTCTCTGTCTCTGTCTCTCTCTCTCTCTCTCTCTCTGTCCCCTGGGGGGGGAGGAAGGAACCCCGAACTGGTGGTGGGAATTTGATGTCTGGAGGCTGATGAGCCACGCACCAAAGACCAGCTGGCTGGCGGCGAGGCAGGGCAATCTCGCAGTCACCCCAAAAGTAACACATTTCTTGTCACTTGAATCTTGAAGACTCAAGGGAGCATGAATGTTTGTGCTGTAGCCGCTGGAGCTACTAAACAGTGCGGTGTTCTCCCCTGATGGCCACCCGCTCACCGTCCCCCCCACCTCGGGACCACTACTACTACTACTAATACCTTATCCTGCCTTCCTGACACCAAAAGGGCAGTTGGGCTGCCACTCCCCCTACCCCACACCTGATCCTGCCTTCCTAACACCATACAGGCAGTTGAGCTGCTGCTCCTTTCCCCACCGTTGGTGGGCCTGGAGAGCTATCCGGTGCAGTCCCTATAGTTATGGGATTACTGGTCTTTGGATTGGTAGTGGCTTTGCCACCGTGATCCAACCCAGGCACCTACCATCACCAGTGATGAGAAGAAATCAAGAAAATTCCACACCGGATCAGTCGTTGCCCAGGTCAATAAGGGCCATGTCAGATAATATGTCAAAAAATGGGCTACAGGGCTCAGTTGTTACTACTAGGGAACCAGGGTGTGTAACTGCAAAGTGACTGGAACAAAAGTGCAAAACCTGGACAGACGAAGAAAATCGAGAAATCATAAAATGTTACTACCAGGTAAAACCAACAGTCCGATTTCAAAAAAGAATGATGCAACTGTGGAAGAAAAACATGCGGAGAGTGATGTAACTGAACAACGATTAATGGATCAAACATTTCATCATCTGTAATAAAGTTTTTACAGATGAGGAAATGCAATATCTAGAAACATTGGCTAAAAAGAAAACAAGAAGTAAGGCTGAAGAAATTTTTCCAACACCTGAACAAACTGACCAACCAGCGGAAGAAACCAACATACAGGATGAAGATCATCCTGTGCAACAACTTGAAAGTGTAGAGCTAAGTGATCTAGCAAAAACGATGAAAGAAAATATTGAAAACAACATCAAAGAAAACACAGGGAAAAAAAGACTGCCTGCCATTCGGGAAGTGCATAGCAAATGAGTGAAAGATTTACTAAATGCCCTGAACAACATTTTAACTTCCATCCCATCTAGCATAATACGTGACGCAAACCAACTAATGTACAGCACAGCCACCATGATAACTGTAGAACCGGGTAATAAAATGCCCAAAAAGAAACCACTGGAACACCAAAGTTACTACCGGTTTGCAAGATCCAGACTGAACAAGTAGCAACCCACTACTGGTCATAAGTGCGAAGACCAATCTTAAATCACTTTTTTCAACACCACTATAACTTTGAACAGTTGCTAGGCAATTGGTTGTAAGTCAAGGACGATCTTTATTTACATAAAGTGCTTGAGCAACACCATCCCCAGCCATTCCGCAAGCATCTTTTCTGACATGTACCTTTTATATCATAGCTCTAAAACCTGTGACATATTCTTTGTCTTCCTCCGAGGATAACTTTTGCACCTGCCTGTTTATAGTCACTTAACAGTAACTTAACAAAAACCAGATTTCTTTTCATGCGTTTTGTAGATATGGGAGCACCTTGGATATACAGTCCATTTTTATAACCGTCTGTTGTCCAATGGCCACATTAACAAAATTAATAAGGGTTTATTAATAAATGCAGTGGATTTCAAGAACCATTTCCAGTTATGAAATATTAATTATTAGCTTGATTAATAAATAAGCACTATGAATTGCAAACACCATACATACAGAATACGTTATATAAATTTAGCATTTTCACATCAGCTGTATTTTCCAAAGATATAATGCCAATTATAAAGATTCTGTTTCACTGAGTGGCTTCATTTGAGAAATGATTCCATACCACAAATTCACCTCTGTTTTTTGAATTTACAGTTAACCAAAATATAAAGATTATTGCAGATTTTCCATGTTGTGTTTTTTATTTGATAAATTACTACCTAAAATAATGATAAACAAGGCAGAGTTCAGCTAAACTGTTCAGCTAAACTCAAACTTCCCAAAGAGCTGTTGATACAGAGGAATTATTGAGTCTGTCATCTGTACCCCTATAACTGTCTGGTT